CTTAGTGAGCTGCCAGTGAGATTTATTTCTTGAGATTGACCTCTTGGATCTTCATCTGTTGTCTTAGCATCCATTGCGGGTTTCAGCGGAGTGCTTACCTGGCCTTATGACTTGTTAGAGGGGAACATGTCCGCCGACGATACCTCAGTCTACGAGGATATGGAGGAGGAGGTTGTGAGTTTCACAGCGGCGGTGACTTCATCCTTAGATGTTCCATTGTGGAGTTCTTGTAAGGCACTCCAGTTGGAGGCTGATAGGTTGGTGAAGAAGGCTTGGAGTGAAGCGTCTTTACCAATAGAGCCATAGAGGGCTTCAGCTGATCAGCTAGTTGGTGGTTCTAGCGCATTGTCTCCATTGATTACTACACCTATTGCATGGGAGTATTCCTAAGGAGCGTTTGTTTGCTGGATTTTTTTGGTGGGATTAGCACAGGTTTGGGTGCGGTGTTGCAGTCAGGTATTCTCGTACGGAGAAACTTGTATGTGGAGAAGGACAAGACTACACGTCGAGTCTTGTCACGACATGTTGCAAAGTTGATGCGGCGTTTTCCTTCGTTATTGCAGCGATCAGCTGTCCGAGGATTCCAGAAGACGTTGCCTTTAGACGTTTTGTTGTTGGGGGCGCCAGACCTTGACCGCGTTAGCCATATTGATATGGTGATTGCGGGCTGGCCATGTGAGGGACACACACGCGCAGGACATGGGACCGGATTGCATGATCCCATATCTCGGATGTTTTGGGAGATGATGCGAGTGTTACGTCAACTTCAGGTGCACCAGACACCTTCTCAAGCGTACATTCTAGAGAACGTACCATTGTTGGGTGACACTCGTGCCCAGTTAATGGCGAGTGTCCATCAAGTTAGAGCATGTATTGGATCAGCAAGGTATGTTGGATGTTGCAAGGGTTGGATCACGTGTTCATCGTGCACGTTTATGGTGGATCAACCTTTTGCCACGTGCAATATTGCGTCATGCCTATGATTCTGTGACGCGTGATCCTACACTCACCGTTGACAGTATCTTGGATGTTTTACGACACTCTCAGATAGTGAGAGTTGTTGATAGGTCACCTATGGCGAAGCTGAACCGCGTAGTTCAGCCTCGGATGGCTTTACTTACATTTGTCATTTATCCGGCATCACAAGCATATCATGATGGTGGATCTGGACTACTGTGAGACAGTATAGTACATAAGTTGGTGGAGCCCAACGCTGATGAGAGAGAGCGTGCAATGAGATTTATGACTGGTGTCACCGCAGCTGCTAGAGTTTAAGAGGCTTCGCGTCGTTAGGTTTTGGGTCAAGCTATGGACTTGAACTGCTTGACGTGGATTGTGAGCTTGGGTTTGGCGGAGCAACGCCGTTTGCGCGTTGATTTGGTGGTTAGTACATCACTTGTTAGCTAATTGCCTACCGAGACAGTAGAGGCAATGGCTGGAGGCGACAGGCGAGATATTTGTCATCCTTGGAGTTTATGGGACGTGACGAAAGGACTTGCAAGAGTTGCAGCCCATGCAGTTGGAGAGTATTCTCATGTGGAGGTGGCTACGAAGGAGGGTATCCAATCAGTTGCACACTGATTGGAGTATATTGGGACTTGGAGCGGTGTTGACGCAGCGTGATGATGAGGGCAAGGAGTTTGTGGTTGCGTATGCTAGTCGTTCGAACAATGCAGCGGAGTCGCGGTATAGTTCGTACGAGGGAGAGTGCTTGGCAGCGCTGTGGGCTGTGGCACACTTTAGGTGTTACTTGTTTGGTACGCAGTTCACCCTTGTTACTGATCATCAACCGCTCAAGTGGTTGATGGAGTCCGACAAGCTCTTAGGGAAGCTTGCACGGTGGGCTCTCATCTTACAGGAGTACGACTTCCAGGTAGTGCAAAGACCTGGAGTTGCGAACCTGGATGCCGATGGTTTGACTCAGAACCCATGCAATAGCGAGGAGGATGACAGTAGAGCTAGATGGCATGGTGAGGTAGACGAGGAGATGGTGCCTTGTTGGCATGCATCTGCCTTCATATGTTGGTTACGTGGAAAGTCAAGTAGAGAGAGTCATTTGACATCTTACTCTAGTTAGAGAATAGATGGTCGATCTTCAGATCCTGAGGTTGAGGATGGTGGTGTGGATCAGCGTGATGTTCACGATGATGCATTGATGTTGGAGTTTCAACGGACCAGCATGGTGCCAGGCAAAGTGGGTGCCAAGGAGCGAGATCGTGTTCTCCAACGGGCGAAGAGATACCGATTGGAGGGATCACATGTTCTCCGAGTGTGGGAGGACGGTAGGGTACGAGTAGTACCACATCCTGCACAGAGAGCACGCATTGTGAGGCATGCTCATGAGGAGTTGGGACATTTTGGAGTGAAGCGTACATACAGCTCTTGGTCTGTATTGGTGGCGTGGTATGCATACCCTTAGTATGCATACTACGCCACCAATACAGCAATAGAAAAGTTGGTATCACGTTGCATGGTTTGTGATCGGGTGAGAGCATCATTCAATGCCCCGACACCAGTGTTACATCCATTACCCATTATGGGGTTGGGTTACCGTTGGAGTTTAGACTTTGTTGGACCACTACCTTTGAGTGTACGACATCATAGGTATGTGTTGGTGATGGTGGAGCATTTCTCCAAGTGGATTGAGTTGGTGGCATTACCTGACAAGGCAAGTGAATGAGTAGCGTATGCTCTCCTTGACAGAGTGCTTAGTCACTATGGTGCACGAGCTGAGATTTTGACTAATTAGGGGACGGAGTTTCAGGTCTTGTGCGACAAGGCACCAATTGATCATCGGACCACGTCGCGAGATCATCAAGAGGCCAATGGTTTAGCAAAACGTGTTGTATAGACGGTGAAGAGGGCGTTGCGCAAGTATGGCCTGCAAAAAGGTCATCTTTGGGACTGGGATATCCAATTACCGTAGTTAGCCATGGGATATTGGTATAGTCGGCAAGCATCCTTGGCTTACTTCTCACCATATTTTCTATTGTACGACCAAGATCTATACTTGCCAACATCGATTCGTCGTGAGTCTAGCGAGGTGGTGAATCTTGATGACCCGAATATGTGGGTGAGAGTATGTTCTCAGCGTGCAGAGCTCTTTCGGAGAGTTATGCCTGCTCCGTTTGAGAATCTTGCGATTGCTCAACATAGAGATACGTTGCGGTATGCAACCATTCGGGGAGGAGGTTATCGACCATGGATTCGTAGATTCCATGTGGGAGATTACGTCTATCTATAGCAGACTGCACCTACGACATTGAATGTGACGGCGGGACGCACAATCTTGCGGGTGCGGGAGGTGTTACCTTTTGGAATTCTCTTGTTGGAGTGTCGTGAAGGCATTGTTTGGAAGGATCATTTGCGCAGTTGTGCGACATGCCACCTCCCTAACATAGATGGTACTATGGACCAAAGCTTAGCAATATTATGTGTTGGCTTGGCTACAGGCCGCCTCACAAGGTGACTCACTATGTGGGTCACCTGGTGAGGCGGCCTGTATGTTGGTGTGTGATTGGTGTTTTAGGGGATGGCATATGTTGTGATTGACTCCGCCTATCGATGTTATTCCGGCTGGACGATGGGTTTGTCCTCGATGTACTTAAGAGGGGTGAATGACTTGATCTTCACATGTTATGAATTGCAGATAGGCGACTAACGATGGGGCGACATAGCACCCGGCCTACTGGTTCGCGCACCCACGAAGGTGTATAGCATGTAGTTGTAGATAGGGCTACTTGGGAGTCAGAGGGACCTGCCCGCCAGCTAGGGAGGCGAGTTGTGACATTTGAGTGTGTACTCTCTCGCGCCTTATGTGTGTGTATGTGTATGTGAGTAGCATGTTAGTGATGTAGAGTGTATGGCGATATCTATTCGCACGACAAAAAATATGAAGTGTCAAAAGTAATTACATTATTCCAATCAAAGTAGATGATTGTTATTCACATTTTTTTAGATATTAAATTTTATTGTGATTTCAAAATTAGATCATTTATTTCCTTTAGCGTTGTTATTATGAATACAATCTAATTAATCTAGGTACTTTGTCTTACTTAAAAAATTACAACAGGTATGAAATGAAATAGTATATTGTAAGTTTTTGTGACCATTACAGTCTAAATATTCTAGAAGATTTAGGGGACTACACATCTACGTATTAATGATGGAATAGTCGTTTAATATCAAGAGAGAATGGGGTCGTTAATTTTCATATTGTTAAAGAGATTGACACAACTTCAAACATATATTGTACTACCTATTACTTCCAATGTAAGCAGTATTGTCATTGCAGTAGAAGTTTTGATTGAACATACAATAGAACAGCCAGGAGGGATGCTGTGTGATATGGACAGATATTTCGTTGAAGTTTTTTCAAACTTATGTTTGCCTTACTTTGCTTATATTTGGTAATGACATTTAGGAAGAAATATTTGAGGCACTTTGCATCCCTGACACCATATTATTCTCTGCATCGATGGAGGTTTTTCGAGGAGCTTCACATGTGAAAGAGGCTCTACTTCAGAGTGAAGCCTTTTTCCATGATTTTGTTGGAAGGGTGTACCATAAGCGCTTTTCTATAACATGGTTGCGTTTATGTGGGAAATATGTTATTATGGTTCTTAAACATAAATTTTCTTTATAATGCAGATTAAAGGGTTAAATATCCGAACAGAAGGAACTTGAAATTGAAAAAATTGATATGTTTAGATTGGAAACGAATATTTCTTCTGCAATGAAGCCCTGGTGGAGGATAGTGTAGTCCCTTTCTTCCCTGATTTTGCCGCAAACTAGGGTTGTGGAAACTCTATCGAGTGGTGGCGTGTTGTTTTAGGGAAGGTTAGGCGTATGAGGGATTGAGCAGGAACTTAACGAATCCCTTACGAGATTGTTTTGGAGGTTGTAGCAGACGTCATCAAGGATTAAAAGAAACCTACTCGTCTTCTTCTAGTTGATGCCCTCTTACGTGACCTCCGTAGATCTCACGTTTGGTGTGGTTGTGCGATTTCTGATTGTTGCCTTCCTAGCCTGAGACATACAAAGGAAATCGGATTGTGCATGCAGAGGGCGTTTGCGACGACGATACAAAACGCTTGGTTTTAAAAGCTTTGTTTCTCTGCAGCTCCGAGCATTCAATGTTTGTTATTTCTCCTCATAATGTACTGTGCATGATACTCAGTCAGAGTCTGAATATCTATAGCTTCAGTGAGGTCGCGCTCATTTCTCGATTGGTTTGTTGGTCGATGTATTTTAGGTTCTGTTTTGCCGCTGTATATTGGGGAGGGCATTGCAGTCGAATGCCATCGCGGGCTGTGTTATGAAATGATGTAGGAAGGAAGTGGAGATTTCTGTTTTGCATGATTCTCACGACCCTTTTCCATCCAATTGTATTTGACACTCTGCAAGGTTTGGGTGCTTAACGTATGTCTTCGATTGTAGTCTTTCCCCCAGTGGAAGGGTCTGCATTGTGCTGTCAATCTGACCGTATGTGTTGATGACCTGCCCTCGTTTAAAAATCACGGATTTCACCTAATCCTCTCACATTCCAGTCGTTCCTTATCTTGTTCAAGCGCTCCGTGGAAGAACAGTGTTGTTGTTGGGTAATATTATTTCTAGTCCCTGCTTTCGTTCACAGTTTTCGTCAGGTCCGTGCCAAAGACGGTGATGCCTTCTCCGGGTTTCTGCAGTGCCGAGCTCGAGGTCCATTTCTGCTTCGAGACTAAATAGAGGCAGTCAAGGTAAAACGAGCTGGTGTTTGTTTACAATCTTGTCGTTCCGTGGACTGTGATTGAGGTAGATATTGGAGCTTGGACAAGCCGGAGCATAGCTCGATGAGGCTGTAGACAAGTAAGGGATAGTGGTGTGTTTCAGTTCTGGAAATGCTCTTGAATGAGGGATAAGGTGTCGAGCAAGTGATGAAACAAGGGAGGGAGCACGTTCTTGCTTGAGGTGATGCTGAAACTGGGGCTTCGGTGAGAAATTGTCCTGAGTCTTTTGCAATTATCTGAGGAGCTTCCTGGAGCTAAAGGAGGGAGCGATGGAGCTTGCTTCGCTGGGAGCGAAGATGTCGTTCTTGGTTCGCCTCGTAGCTTTCCTGCTCAGCCTCAATGAATGGAGCCCTCTCCGCTGATTTATCGTGGTTTTCTCTTCATATGGGTTTGGATGCAGATAGAGTTTCTCTTATTGATCTTTCTTTTGTTACAGCGTCCATTACACCCAGCAATTTGCCTCGTCTTATTAGGCAGAAGTTTTTAGTCGTGGACGTAACCAACCTCGACGGAAGCAATGAGCAGCCGTGCCAGTCGCACCATATATGTCGGAAATCTGCCCGGTGACGTTCGTGAACGTGAAATTGAAGATTTGTTTTACAAGGTATCTTATTCCGCATCTTTTCTTTTTGAAGTTTTCTGTAGCCTGATTTTACTTGTCAGGTAACCGGTTTCTATGATGTAGAAAACTTCTCTTCTTGCGATTGCAATCATGTCGAGGCATTCTCTAAACATAGAGACAATTGCACCTGCTGTTTCGCAGTTGGAACCTCTGTCTATCAAATAGCTAAGTTCAGAATGTTTGAAATGTGAAATAGTCGTTCTACCTCCAAAGCTCTCGCTGGCTTGTCGCCTGTCGTACACATGGTGTTGAGGCCTTGCCATAGGTCAATATGTTGGCGAATTAGAACAACTGTACTTTGACGCTGTTGTTTGTGTATTTGGGCACTAGGTTCGTGTTTTCCTGATTTTTCTGTTCTCCCCCTCTGATGGTGATCTCTGGACTTCTGATTTGCTGTTATTGTTCCATCTTTCTTCAGTATGGTCGCATCGTTGATATCGACCTGAAGCTTCCTCCTCGACCACCTGGGTACTGCTTTATAGAGGTATGTTTCGTAATCCTTCAACAAGTGCTGAATGATTTATAAGTCAAGTGGTCATGTCTTGCCCAGTCATACGAACTGATATTTGATGAGGCCTGGCATGCGTATTTCCTAACTTGTCGTTTGTTCGTGTATTCAGTTTGAGGATGCTCGAGACGCGGAAGACGCGATTAGGGGTCGAGATGGTTACAATTTTGATGGTAACAGATTGCGGGTAGGTTTTTCTCTGTTGGTACTTGCTAATAGGTACTGTGCTTCAGTGTGGTTTTTCATGTGCGGTTTGTTTCTCTCTGATCTTCTCTTGTTTGGTCAAGTTCTGTACTACTATTTGTTGATGGACTTAATTGAAACTTATCGCAAGCATTCCTCCCTCCTCCGCTGTCAGCCTTTCCCTATGCTTCGCCTCACTTTTTTCCTATCCCTTTTTTAGCGGTTTTCAATGCATCCCGGATGTGGATCTGAGGCCGAGAGGATATAGGGTGATATTCTGAGACTATTTCGCCCGTATTTCGTCAGCGACTTTCGGATGACTTTTACGTCAGTTCTTACCGTACCTCATGTCAGCGGAGAAAGTTAGCTTGTGATCATGTGGTAGCTCAAGGATGTTGGCCGTTGACGCTCATTACAATCCTATGCCAGGATTCTGGATATGGGTAGTTGTGAGACTATTATGGGGCACTCAAGCGTCAGGGAGAAGTCCACATGCAGCCTGAATGTTCGTTGATCATTCTTCGTAAGTTTGGAGGAGAAGGCCAAGAACCCACATAAGTTGATGAACCGTGTTGTGATTTTGTGTGAGATCGAAATGAATCTGTCGAGGGTTAATGAATACATCACAGAAGCCAAAGAGTGGTGATAAGGTTGTGACCTGGTGAATATATAGAGATTTGAAAAGGTGATTGAACGTTTTGGGCTTGTCTGTGGATCAAGTTGGTTACTAACTCAATTGTGCCTTTATGTTATTTCAATTTCGAGATCCATCAATGCCTCATTCATAAGTCTTGCTAGGATATTTCTTGGTCTCACGCGGCTTATCATTTGTAGAAGTAGTTCTGTTATAGTGTTGATCCCCTTAGCTAAGGTTCAGTCTTTATAGTTGACAAAGTCCAGGTGCGAGAAGTCGTTGTTTGAGCTGAGGAAATCGCCGCTGCACAGCACTGGGTAGTGGTGGTGTGGTATCACGGAAATCTTGCTGTTGAAAGGTCCTGGATTTTCCATTCTCAGCGTTTCTGATGTAGAAGCAACGAGGATTCGGGCTGCAAAAGTCTATTTTTCTGTTGTTGTTTCAGCTTTCGGTGTTCTAAGATTTTTGGACTCATTCCTTTGGCCGCATACATTGGAATATTTGTTTCCCACGTGCTGCAGGTCAAGTTGAAAGCTTGATGCGCGCTTAATGTGAAGAGAATCTCTTTGCTTCAAAAGAGTCCTCACGTGTCTTCCTCCCTTTACATTTCATGTTTCATCTTGTTAATCTGGTAATTAGAGCAATGTTAATCCAGCTCACGGGATTTGTAAACGTCGGACTATGACAGGTAAGTATATCTGCTTTCATATTTGAGAGCTCGGAGATGCGAACAAACTTCTTTTGGGAAGATTACTGACCCTTAGATACACTCTCGTCACTGCAGATAAGATCCTTCTTCTTTTGCTTGTCTCTTCAGACCATCTTCCTTTCGACACTAGCACCTGTTAGCCAGATCGTGGGGTCAACAGCCTCCTGGCTATGTTATGCAAATACTAACAATGCTGTCTTTTTGTCCGCTTTTTGACCTCTGTCGATACTGCATGTGAGCTGGAAGGTTGGGGAACGTTATCACAAATAGTACAATGCTGGTCGAGTAATCTTTGGTTGCTATCTTTTACTATTACTCGCTGTTCATCTTAACCTCAAACCTAAGCTTTCCGAGTGCAGTTGGTCAGTCATTACCACCGTTACTATCGTTCAAATTCTGCATACTATCAGAAGCCACATGGCCACATCAGAAGACGGATCAGCAGCATATAAATCCATTATCTCTATAAAACTGGTTCATCCCTCTGCTCGAGGAGGCCAAGCCGCATGCTTCTATCACTACCCTTGATTTGAAACCAAAGCAGCTGCACATTCTAGTCGTAGCTAATAGTTTTCGTATTAAATTGTCCGGAGAAGAGTTATCAGAATGTTGCTTGTTGTGAAATCTCAGTGGAGTAGAGACCTCTTCACACTCTTGACTTTCACGTAAGGTCTCTCATTTCTTGCATTTAACTTCCTACAATATATTCTCTTTGCTGCCAGTATTGGCTCTCTGTATTCTGACGCCGCCGATTTCACCGCGCGGTGTCTATGGCCTACGGGCTATGACAGAAACCTATGATTATTCACAGGCTGCTTTAGTACCCTAGGGGTCTGGGCGCTCCTCTGGCTGATAACACTGTAACACACTAACTTTTACGGACTAGAAGAAAATGGAAAGATTTTTTAGAAAATATATTCACGAGATCGATACAAAATGAGAAATTCATGTTACGAGACAAATGTGACTTTTCAACTGGTCTATCTTTATTTGCACGTACGTCATCCACTTTGCCTATATGGGGATGAGATGTCTGAGTGAGAGATGTCGACTGTAAGCTGTACGACGACCTCGGAGTTTGCTATTTATTATTCTTGTTTTATTATTTTCGTTACCATTCTGACCAAGCCTGTGTATCCAATTTCGTGTTGACACGTGGATCTTTGGATCTCACATGATTAAGTTCTCACAGTAGTGAGTACGGTTTCCTGCTATGGAGGTGGCTTGACCAGATTATCATGATCTGGCATGCCTCTACAGGAACAAATATTCATTTCCTCTCATTCTCTTTTACTGTCTACAGGTTGAACTTGCTCACGGTGGGAGAGGTCCTCCTTCATCTGTGGACAGATACAACAATTACACTGGATCTGGTGGTGGAGCAGGCCGAGGAGCCGACGGAGGTCGTACAGGTGGCGTATCTAGGCGGTCCGAATACAGAGGTTTGTGTCCCTTCTCATTGCCACTCGATATTTAGCAGGAACTCTATATCGTTTATTAGGCTTTCAGGTTTGTGATATAAATTGCAGCTATTGTTAGTTTGGCATAAGCTCGCATTGAATGTTGTCTTATGTGCTGCCTGATCTTAGGTATTTGCGGATAACAATGGTTCAGTTCACTCTATACCCATTAGGAGTTGAGGGCGTTAGAATATGAGATAGAGATCGCGGCTAGGCGATGGATGCTCCTTCGGCACTTGCATGAGCGATAATAATTGGTGCACGCATGTCGCATTCGAAGTTCTAGCTTTCTTTGGGACTATGTTTGGTGATGGTCAATTCTCGTTACCAGATTCACACCAAGTAACCACGTGCCGTATGTTTCACTGTGAATGAGGCAATAGCAGGTTATGGATTCTTGATAACTATTCCTAGAAGCTGTTATCTGTTTTCGTCGTGTAAGATTGAATGTCGGTAATATGTGCCTAATTTAATATTTCTTTTTGTAGTTATCGTGACTGGGTTACCTTCTTCAGCGTCTTGGCAAGACCTGAAGGTATATGACTCCGGACCTGGGATTTCTTTCTTCAATGTTTTTGGCGGTGTCCTCAAATTGAAAGATGGTCGGGAGGAGCATAATATGAGGCAAATGTTCCAGCAGTAAATGGTTGGTTGTTTATGCAGGATCACATGCGGCGTGCTGGGGATGTTTGTTTTGCTCAGGTGTTTCGCGATGGGAACGGTAAGTGTGTTAACGCTGGAGCAGAGGGTTAAATGCGTGCTAATAGCGGGAAGAAGAGATTGTTATCTAATGCCCAGGAGTATGTTTGAACTGTTGAGAGTGAAGTATTAGTTTGGTAGGTTGAAACAGCCGTTTCCAAAGATTATTGACAGATCTTAATTCACGTTATTACACGATGCTTTGCCACTTTCATGTGTAGGTCTCCTAGCTTTCACGCGAAAGCGTGAAAGCTAGGGGTTAGTTGCCACATAATTAACTCGTGTACAATCATAACCTTTCCTCTGTTTTTACCTCCAAATCCTTTACTCTCAGGGAATTCTTTGTCTGCAGTGACTAGATAATGAATGAACTAGTTCTTTGTTTATCTTAGAAGGTGGTGAGGTAGCAGGTTGATCATTTTGGGACCTTAATCTGTTTGTAGTTCTTGTCACTCCAGCTGTCTTGTCTCGCTGGGGTTTTGTCTGAATCATAACTTCGAGAGATTCGGATTAAAGAACAGGGTTGATTATACAGTATTGTTGTGAATCAAAGTTTGGATACATCTTTCAAAAGCATTTGCCATGATAGGGCTGTTATTTCCTTGGGTGGTTGCGTTGAAACATTCTTTCGGAAGGTGCTCATCGTCGTATGGTTTCTGCCTTGTGTGTTAATGTCTTTTCACTTTTTATTAGTTCTCTGTATGGTCTGGTCTGACCTGTGTCCTTACTTAGTGGATGTCTCCTGTGGATTCAGTTCCGGTTATCTGCTCTTTTCATCGCATTCTTGCTTGTGTAATTTATTTGGCTCTTTCCTCATGCGGGTGGTCATTCCTTACCGTCCTGTTGACATTGCGCACAAAATCAGAGTCCATTTTGAGTATTCTACAGTCTCTTCTGCTTTGTTACCATCCCCTGGGTGTGATGCACGGAAAGGTTTCCAGGTTGAACGTTCTGTGTCCCTATCTGGAATATCTTGCGACCTTGATCACTGTCTCTAGATCCTTTTTCAGCATCGATAGGGTCTATGATAGCACCTCCTTTCCTTGGAACCCTCTGGTTTGCTCTTCACGTCACGTTCCTCCGTGACGTGAAGAGCAAACCAGCACTTCCTCCGTTGTACGTTCAATCACTGCAAGACCCATCGCCCCGCACGTGTTATGATTGCTGCTACTTCTCGACTTGGGGCCTGGTGGATTATATCGCTTCCAGCTTTTTTCACCCAAAGGTGTCGGTTGCTGGATGCACACCGTTGATCTTCTATTTTATCGGAGGTCTCGCTTGCAGGTTAATCACGTGAAGTGATGCCCTTGGCTTTAAATGCGTATTCAAAGCGATCAATGTGGGCTCTGCAGCTTTCATAAGAAGTTCAATGTCGTTACACACATCTTATTCTTAGTCAGAGTCCCCAAGGTCTCTACTGAGTACTTGTACTTGGTCACTCCGTTCTAGCTATAGAACGGAGTGATTCATTTCACTTACGTCGTTGGACTTCATTTCACTCAAGTATTTTTCTAGAATGGGTGGGTCTCCCATCTTCTTGGCTATCTTAATCGCCTCTGATTTCCACTTTCTGAGAAAAATCTTAGCTGATTCTCGATTAGTATCTAGTATTGATTGGATGAATACTATTACTCCCTTTCTTCGGTAACCGCTGGGTAATTCTAAGTCTTACGCTTGTTAGTCGAGGTAAATATTTAGGGATTAGGGTCATGCCCGAACTCTATTTTCTGTTCCTTTTCAACTTGGAGGTTATTGGAATCACTTGCTCGTTACACTTACATACGGGCAGGTTTATATTCACATTATGGCACTTGTTCTACTGAACCTTGCATGTGGAGCACATAATACTCTGTATGTACTTCCGCTACTTTGGAAATTTCGAGTACAGTCCTTTTACTGAGCACCTCCACTCGGTGTTGATGATCAAATAATAAAGAAAGAAAAAGAGAAATTTACATATAGATGTTTGTCAATGGATTTTCCCTCGGTTACTGGCTTTTGAACTAGTAAAACTGATATGGCTTGACTCAACTGGTGATGCCGTACAGATTTGTCCTTATGTTTTTTCTGCCCTTCAGATTATGACTTTGCTCTCTTTTATGTTCTGTATTCTGTACCTCGGTTACTTGATTATCGTTGCTCTCATATCTCGTTCTCCTTCGCACTGTTTTGGTCTGACGAACTTTCCTAACTTACCGCTTAGCGATTTTAGTTTGTTCTATACGTTGCCATCATTTCCAGTATACATTTTCTTGCATTCGGACAGTTTGAAAGTAGCTGCACCCTTTTGATACTTACAGATTGCTTCGGCAATCTGTAAGTATCAAAAGGGTGCAGCTATCAAAAGGGTGTAACTTGCCACCCGAAGAAAACCCGCCATTCACGTACGATTGAATGGGAAAGCTGAAATACCGTGCGCACTCATACAGTTCAGGGTTCTCCACTGCATTTGCCTCCCAGCAAATCAGAACTTTGAGAGCTGGTTTCTGTTTTATCCCTGATCATGTGGAGGATTGTACATTACAGGAGAAACATGACAAGCCAACCTCGTTATAACACCCACACTTCAGTATGGGTGTTTTAACGAAGATCGCCGTTCTGGCGGTGTTTGTGTTTTCTGCAGTAGATCTGCATATCAAAGATGTCACCACTTTTGTTGAGATTTCATTCTTAATCTCGGCCTTGATGGATTTTTTCCTGCACTTGGTTGGAGTCTGCGATTAATTAGAGATATCGGCATCCGGGGTTTCCATATGGTGCATCCACTTCGGTTGCTGCAAACGTGCCGGTTAGAGGATGTTTTGCAGGAAATCTTTTTAAGTTGTTTGTTCGTTTTTGTGAAGTATTGACTGAGATGGACGTAGGCATTGTAAGATTTCACGTTCAATGCCACAGGTTCATCAGATTCCTGTGTCTCTTCCCATAGTTTCTTCCTCTGGTTATTCCGTCAAAGATAATCTTCGGAATTTGGCCCATCGGAAAGAATTTTGTAAAGTGAAAAATAGGTACATCATAGTTTTCGTCCTGACAACCTCAGTCTTTCAGGTGTGTTTGCCAAATTGTTTAGTAATCTTGATAATTTGGGAGCTATATAGCCCACTGGAGCCTGGTTGCATCTTCTTCTGCCGCCAATAGCCACATCCCTAGTGTAATTATCTTTCCTTACATGATACGCGCTAGCTCTTTCAATATGTAAAGTATAAGTGCGTCTGTGTTAGATGCTTGCTTATACACATCAGCTGCTCGACCTTTTCAAGCTTGTCCTGCTTCACCGAGTGCACCTTCTGATCAGCATGAGCTCGCCATGTACTTTCTTGTGGAATACTTTGGTGCTCGTGCTAGTTTTTCCTTCCGTTCATTACTGGTCACCTCAATACTATATACTATAGATCTGGGGGAGCCTGGATGTGGCTAATGTTCTGCTGTTGTGCGCTTGGAGCGATTGAGGTAGCGGCAGCGGATTTGTATATGCTTACCTGCTGTTTAGTTTATAGCGTCTGCATTTTATCCAATATCGATAGGATCAAACCGGCACATGTCAACCTCAGTACAATGAAGGTATATGTTAACGCTTTTTTTCGAGTGTAATCTTCATTCACTCGGCCGCTTCATTTTTCTTTCTTAAGACGTTCCTTGCACCACCTGCGCTTTCCCTTCGTTTAGCTTGTGTTGTACTGGACGGTAAATACCTACTTTTGTTTCAACCTGGCATCACCTTGCTTGAAGATTCATTCACGGAGGTTCGTTCGCTCCACATGTATAAAATTGCTAGATATCTTTATTGTATGCAGGTCACAATAAGCCTTCAGTAAGCTGGCACACTTCCTAACTTCAGTCTTAGTGTCCCCTGTGAATGCTGATACCTCTCCTAGTGAGTACTGTTTGTTGATCTTGCTAAATGAATATAGGATATAATGCTGTCGCTTTGGGTGGATGATTGTTGTCCTGAGGTTTTCTAGTCGGCTAGTTCCATACACGTAACAATACGCATTTCTCTTCGCTGTTAATCATGTTTGTTTGTTTTTTGTTGCAGGTACAATGGGTATCGTTGATTTTACCAACTATGACGACATGAAATATGCTGTATGTCAACCTTTTCTTCATCTCCATGTCATTTATGCCTAATTCTCCACTAATTTGTGCACTTGAATGCAAGCCTATACTACGTAATTTGTGCCACTTTGAAATTCTCGGACAACATAGCTTCTTGATGACTTTTCCACTGTGTCTTTTATAAAATTAGCGTGGAACGTTCACCCCTTCACAACAGTTTCGACCTTCTTGTGTAGGTGTATTTTCGGAGATTTATTTCGGTATCGTATAATGTTAGATGCTTAGCAAATAGGGGTTGATCTCTGCCTTTCTGAAATTATACTGGCTGTATCCTAGTACATACATACTACACAGCGTTTTTATTTGGTAAGAGGATGAAGCTTACTTCATATACGGTGAGGGGTTTGTTCACTCTCGTCACCCTAAGGCTCATCCGTTGTCGCTGGCTTTTAACCAGGTTATATTCTCCAGTGCTTCTCGCACATTACCAACTGTAGTAGACGGTTTCATAGTCAATTATCATATCCTAGAACTGATGGAGTGGGCAGTTAATTTTCTTTTAAACACCGGAGACAATCAACCTAGTTCTCATTCGGATAGAACATTAGCGTGAAAACCTCGTTGAAACTTAAGGCAGTGTTTGTGAGTACATTTGTCGTGGACAAGTGATGTTTCTGGGGAGTTGATAACGTCTTGTGTGGAGCTGGAGGTGGTTGATGCATGCTCATATTTGTGTTTGAATTAGCCTTCGGATTCGTATTCAGCATCTTTAGGACCTAGTTTGCACTTCCTTTCCTTTGCATCCGGTTTACCTGCGAAGAGTATGTCTTCCACCTCGTTTTCTTTGTTCGGGATTTTGCTGCTGTGAAATTGACTGCTGTTTTTAATTGCCTTCTTGATCCTCTGTCAGACGGACTGTACTGGTGTTGAATAGAGGGTTTCCCTGCGAGCTTGATTCCGGTATTTGTTCATCTGTATGATATCCTTTCTGTGATATAAAAGGCTTCCAATTATGCCCTTGCGCCTGAGCACTGGTTATTTAAAAGCTATGATCACACTTCATCACGTCCCACTTCGTTAGATTTAAGTTTTATAGTATTGGCACACCTGATGAACTGATTCATGCCTTTGTATCGATTACTTCTACTCGCTCTTACGTTATATTCACATATGTAGATATACGTGAATATATAAGTTATCTCAAAACTATCCGAATGTACTGAAGTTACGTTCAACCTATAAGGCTATATTCGAGCGTTTGGAAGATTTCCAGCACTCGTATTTGGCTGCCTGGGTAACAAACTTATGGTTGTAGTGCCAGTTTCTTCAGATACTTGCGAAACTGGAATACTCACATCTATTTATCATCTACGATCGACGGATTGGACGGAGACTCTACTTTTCTGTGTTGGGATAGGCGGACGATGGGGACGTTTGGGCCCATTGTAGGAATTGCATATACAATGTGGGATGGTCTGATGGGGGCCAGTAAAGCACACACATTACCCTTCGTGGTAGTTTCGGATTCTTTTGTTGTAGATCTGCTTGATATTATTGCACTTGTGCCTTGATTCTGTCTGCACTATGCTCTTTGCGCAAGCAGATTCTCCTAGGGGTTCATGGTTTCATCACACTTCCCAATTTTGAAAACTAAAATGCATTCTTCGAATCTCATTTCAAAACTCCTGTTACATATACTGAGTGATATTGTATCGTACTTGCGGTCAGTCCTATCTGTTGAGCTTTTTCTCGCCTCATCGTAATGTGGGTAGTGGTTATTTATCCACTCCGTCAACCATACTTCGAAGGAACTGTACAATCTAGGTTTCTCCTTGCTCGGTGGATTTATATAGGCAATCCTATCAGTGAACGTTGCTATCAACAATCTTTTTCTTCTTATTGACTCCCCGTTCTTTTTTGGTTTTCCGTGAAAGTTTCCTGGTCATACGCATAGCAAAGCTTTTTTTTCTTATTTTTTTGCGCCTTACAATGGAAGAATGAATATTTCATCAGCTGGACCTTAGCCCGACGCGATGACTTCCAATTGAAACTTGGAAGGTCTATGAGGTCTTGGCAATAGTGAGAGTGGACTCGTACACGCGAACGTTGGAATTTTGTGGGTACCTTACAATATTACGCTTGCAGTCTGTCAGTTGACTTAAATTGCTGAATGTGTTGGTTTTACACGATTTTGGCTTTTCCGTGCGAACTTGAATATGTTTGAACTCTTACCTTCATTCTTCCTTTTTAGACGGGCAGGTCTATGGAATGTACTCGGCATTCGTTGGGATCAACGTGGGATCGAAGGACAGAAGCACGCACATAACCTTGTTGTTGCCTCTTTTCAGCTTTTCTTTCCTGTCATGCAGCACTTACTGGTTACGCATGGTTATATTCTGTCTATCGATTCCGTACCTTCGTATGAAATTGCTTGCCCTCCCATTAGACTTGGCAGTACTGCCGTGGTATGTCATAAATGCTATTCTTGTTGGATGAGTTGTCTTGCTATGCTTTGTGTGCTTTTGTCATAAGTTCCACCTATATGCAGTGTTTACTTCTGCCAATGATTAGAGCCCTTGGGGTCGTACGTCGTGGTTCAACATTGGACTTTTGCACACTGAGCCCCTGATCATGTACTACCTCATTGCACAGTGTTCGCTTGAATTCGAGGACGTGGAGTTAGAGTTAGCGTTCTCGTTGATTTTAACTACGTTGGTCTTGAATATTCGTACTGATTCTGAGCACTCACAGATCCGCAAGTTGGATGACTCAGAGTTTCGAAATCCGTTTTCTCGTTCGTTCATTCGGGTATGTGATGCAAAATGTATTACCTACCATGAAGCTTGATTCAAGTCTTCGATTCGAGATGCATTTTCACACTTGTTCTTAAGGAAGAGAATTGAGATTTACCTTACAACCGGAACTGAAAACTTGAAGGGACTACTAGCTGCTGCCTCTGATGCAATAATGAACCTCTTATACATTGTTGGTACTCAACATAAAGTAAGATTTGGATTGTGGTTTTGATCTATAAGGTGAAGGAAGACAAAGGCTACGGCTTCAGAAGGTCCGCCTCCCGAAGTGCGAGCCGAAGTAGAAGTCGAAGGTGCGTTTCTGGAGCTTCTTATTAAGCTGTTTCAACGCGCTGTCTCTTGCATCGGATAGAGTAGATATGGATTTGGCTAACGTTATAGAAGTTCCTTGCTTTTGAGAAATTTATTTTATGTCATGCTATGTTTCGATTCCGCATATCGATACCCAAGTCTGGAAAACGGAATTCTCGGAACAGGGGTTTGGACCGTTGCATTACAAATCTGCGGCGTTTCTTTTTCGTCTTGACGATCTTCATCTTGTGTCACATTTGCATCGTTCTTTAAACTGCATTTGGCAGTTGGCGTGTTCTATTCAATTGTTACCCTTTTTCCCGTTGTTTATCTTAGCTTTTCGTTGGTTTTTGGGAATTTATTCTTTACTGACCTTAGAGCATCTAATCAGTATGGTCGGCACTCTTTCGTAGCTAAGTGTTGTTCTCTGTCTTTTTCTGCACGAACAAACTCGATTCAGTCTTCTTGTCTTGGAGGTTTACAAAAGCCTGGAATGCCGGCGATACACCAGCTGAGTCGACGGCTGAAGTGAGTCGATTTTTCTAGTCTGCATTCTTGTTCTGCTGTGTAAAATATTAGAAGTCGGGGTAACCATGGCTTCTATTTAGGTCTTAGTTTTCTTACGACTTGTTATGAATTTTTTAACCAGAGTTAACTAAGTGACCAGACATACAACTTTATACTGCTGTGCCTTGATATTTTGAGGATAATTAGTTTGTGTGATGTTCAAGGTGCTCTCCTTAGCTAGTTCTTTGCAAAAAAGTTTGTTGATGTTATACAGCTGAGGAGATAGTGCTGCGCACCATTTTCTCAGCTGCCCGTTTCAATCCTAGATACCTTGCACACAACTTTAAATTTTAAGGCCCTACACGCTTAGGTCATGTGTGTCAATTTTGGGACCAATGTTAACACTCAAATCACAAATCACGGAGGAGGTAGAGTTCGCAATTTTCTATCAGTATAGTGGGCTAGCACCCGCACGTGCAGCGACTGGCTCTTATGTTACCTATCGAAGCATGGTTAGGATATAGACGTATCACTTCATTTTACATAGCCAAATAGCGAAAACGAATGCGATGATTTCTTCTGCGATTTTCTTTCGAACCATTAAGAGGTGCTGGTATGAAAAGGAACAGTTTTAAAGTGTTGACTCAGTTGTTGCTTGGAATATCACACCACCGGGTAAGTAGTTGTTATTGTTTCTTGGTTGCTTCTCTCACAATGAAATGGAGGAGCCTGTCCACATTTTATTCTGATCTTGCATATGCTCTCCTTTGTTCTTGAAACAAATTTTGCTGACTTATCCCGTTTACATATACTTCATTCCAGGGATGTTGCTATTTGCTTCCTTCTTTATGCTACTCACATGTCTCCTCTGTTCTGGATACTGCTCGATGGTCACTGGAGGACTTGCTTCTGTTGGGCTGGATCTCCCATACTGCACGCTTTGTTCACGCGAGCATCAATTCGACAGTCGGTCTCCACCATGAATATCACCGTTTAAGTGCTTACAAGCTTTACGCTGTGATGCATCTGTTTGTCTCTCTTTTTCTTAAAGCTTCAGTTCATGCATGAGACGTCCCACTTTTACCTTCATATTCTACCTGTTACTTTCTTTCTTGCTATTAGTCGGCACCTCTAAGACATAATATCTAGATCTGTGTTGCATCGGTCTCGTTCATGCGAAGCCCTTGCGGCTGATCATTTATCATCTCATAGTTCTGGGTGCTGTTGACGGTCATTGCTTGCGTCGGGCTATTTCATTTATACTGCAGCACACTTCGTTCACCCTGCACTGTTTGTTCGCCAGTTGGTCTCGTCGCTGGCTTCCATACTCCACAGTCCTTCTGCTCTTTGGCTTCTTCTAGTTGCACTTTCATTTTTCTTACAATTCTTTAATTTTTCATTTCTTGCATGTCAGGTCTCAGCTTTCCTGCCATCGTCTTCATGTTTCTTTCCATCTAGTATATGATGTTGGCACGCTGCACACGTTCCACCTAGATTTTAGTCTGCAGCACATAAATTGGGTTGAAGGGTTTGCCACACCTTTCAGTTTCATTCACAACCGCTAAGGCTAGTACTCAGTGCCATCGTCGTCTTTATGTTAAATCTTTACTTAGTGTATTTTGTTGGCTATTTCTTCTGGGCTGGTGAGGTCTTGGAAATAGCGAGAGCAGACCGATGCATGTCGAGTTTCTGGTATCGTTTTCAGGATCTTAAAGATCCACCTAGTACTTCCCTTCCTCTGTACCCAATATAGTACTCAAGTTCATCGACTTTGGCTCTATTGGTTTATATCCCTCCCTGTTTCTCTCATGCATAGATTCGGTTGGTTTCAGCTCGTTTAGTTGACCGGGGGCTTGTGCGTACAGCTTCATTCACGTGAGTTTCCATATCTTATTTTCATGTTTTGATCACTATAGTAATCAGAGACCTGCAGGTTTCACTAAATCTTGACTGTACTGCCTTACCAATGTCAGTCACTGTCCCCAAGGCTCGCACTGAATAGTTGTCTCTCATAACGAGTGATGAACCTAAGCACTGAGTACTTGTACTTGTACCATTTGTATGTATGGCGTTGGCAGGCTTGAGACTTACCCACCTAAACTTCAGTTGCTTGGGTCTCTTGGGTAATTAGCTCCCTAGACTGACCATGAAGTGGATACTCTGGCCTTTTGGTTTTTAGTTTTCCTTCTTAACCATAATCACGTGTTGTTCTGTATTTGAGTCACAATATTGGTTGTACTGAATGCTGTTTATTAGGGAATGCCACTCAGGTTTTGATTTATGTTTCATAGTTCGTGTTCTCCATTCACGGTTACTTTTATTAGACTAGACTCTTCAGCTCGTTCGGATGTTGTATCCGATTTGCTGTTCGTAATATTTCCCGGGTGGATAGTCCTACACTAATTGTAAACGTCTGGGCAACAAATTATACGCCTGGCTTGTCTGGTGGGACTCTAGAATATCCTCAACCCCCGAACCCTAAACCCTCCCACATCTTCCCACTTGGCCCATAGCAGAAATCTATGCAGCTCGGTATCCATTGACGAAGCAGCCGAGTTTACCTGAAGAGAAGGCGATGCTCCCTGTTCATATTTTGTTGGTGTTCACTGGGCGATTTGTTCCTTCATACTGCCTACTTGATTTTCCCAGTCCTGTCAATATGACAGTGTGTCTACTTCCACCGGCGTCCATATTCCACGTTTCTTCTGCTGTTCGTTTTCTTGTCAGATCTGTTGTGGATACGACATATAATTTTTCCGATGAACTTAATATGTTGTACTAAGGTCTGGGTGTTGAGTCACTTGCCTCCTGGTTGATGATATTTGTGATGATTGTGAGTTTGTCTGTCCTTACGTGTTGAACACTTGTCTCGTTTTCGTGGCATCGCATAACTTTGTTTTTATGTTGAGCATTCATCAATGGGAATGCCGAGGATTAGCTGAAGTACTTACGGTTTTCCCTTTCGATTCCTTTCATCTGCAGCCCTGGTCGCACTCGAACTGCAAGTAAATCTCCGCATAGTCGATCAGCATCTCGCTCTCTATCGCACTCGAGGTTTGTCTCTCTTTTTATTACTGGCACTCCCTTACGCTTCAGCAGTGGCTTTCAACCATATTTCATGTTGACGCCCGAGGTCGCTTCGATAAACATGATTTCTCCTAACATCTTTCTCTCTTGAAACGTATAAGGAACACGCTTGAAACTTATTAAGAACACTTTTCCCCGAGTTATGTCCTAGGGTTCCATCACTGGCTGTAAGAACTGTTGTACATCAAAGACATGAGCTTTTCGGAGTCGTGTTATCAATTATATTGTGAATTTTACTGGATAAAATTTTCCAGTCTCTGCTTCTTCCCCTCACGTTATGGACATGACGTTTGCATTCAGCTGTTCTGAATAGCACTGGATTCGCTGTGATTAGTCTAGACGGATAGTCGTTTATTATCTGAAGGGACCACCAGTGATTCATTAAACGGCTCGCATTGAAAATTGCTTTCGAGAAAGCATATGCTTGTTCTAATGTGAATGTGTGTTTTTATCTGATTCTGTGGAATGCTTTCGATTGTGTTTATATTATTTACCGGTGTTCATTTTAAGGAACAAATTTGGGCTTTTAACTACTTTGTTAGTACTTCACGAGAAAGAACGTTTTTTTTCTGATGGGTATGAAACTTGTAGTTACCATGTTGTCCTTTGAAGTAAAGAGTCTGGAAATTGTGGGAATAATATCTTGTGTTCAACGAACCCCTTTTCTTTATCGACGATGATTATTTTCCATAATTCTTACTGGGTAATACCACAAACAACGCTCATCGAGTTGGTAAATTATCCATAGGTTTTACCTTGCGTTTTCGTAATTGATCTTACATCGAGTTTAACTTGCAAGCGTTCCCCTCGACGCTACTTTGATGATATCGATGGATCCTGTGTCACTTATTCAAGCTCTGTTGTTTAAATTTTTTTTAGTCCCTATTATTTTGATTACAGAGATTGCGAATTACATGAGAAAATTAGACTGATCAGTATTTACAATATCATCCTTAAGTATGGCGATTTTTCTTTTCCACTTTCCTCTATTATTCGACTGATGAGAAGTGGAGAATATTTTTTCAGTTTGTTAATTGGCTTCGTCATGGTAAGGATTTCAAGTTAAAGCGTTGGTGATGCGTTTAGGTCTGATTAATGATCTTCTCTTGAAGTACGTTTTTCAGCTCTCTCTTACCCACTGTATCTGTTTCAAATGCGGCAGGTCGAGATCAAGATCCCAACGACGTTCGGTATCAATCTGTCCTTATGCTACTTTATTGATTGGTCATAGGTTCGCTATAGTTATGTTACTGGTTGTCCACTGCACGTGATTTTACAGTAATCCATGCCTTAAGTGGTTGTAACATTTGCAGCTTTCCGCATCCAAGGAGCACAGCCGGAGTGTCAGCTTGAGTCACAGTGGTTCCCGCTCACCTCTACGAGTATGTCTTGTCCTTTTTCTGCATTCTCATCCTCTGATCAATTAGTTTTCAGACTGCGCACGTACGCACGTCCAAGTTGTTGGATACAGCCACTCTTTTTATGCTTCTGGGCGTTCTTTGCTATTGTTTCCAATCCTCTCTGAGTAATCTACTCCTCTTTTCACAGTCACTCACTCTCTCAATCAGTGCCGAGACCGATGACCGTCAGACGTGACGTTTCGGCTGTTTTCAACCAGCGTCTAACTTGCTTACTCACAAGCAGCATCTGTGGCAGCACATCAATGTTGAACCCTTTGAAACAGGATGGGATTGATTCATGACTTGACTCTGTAGGAGCATTGTCCTTTGGCAGACGAGGAGTTCGAGCAACCCACCGAGAAGCCGGAGCACCAGTCCAAATGCGAAGGATAAAGTATTGCGTCAAACTCACCTTGTTTTCTTGTCATGCTTTGTGGTCACCTTTTCTTTGCGGAACACGTTTTTCAGTAAACATTTTCTCTTATATCGATTTTCCGAAGTCAGCGGTTAGTCAATATATTCTACTTCTCCTTCTTGGGTGGTCGTGCCTTGAAGCTCACTGCTTCGTTCTTTGTCGAAGGTTCCTGGAGTGGTGCCGGCATCATCATTTAGTGATAAGGAATTTTGGCAACTGTAAAGATTCCAAAGATCTCGATAAGGAGATTTGACAACCTTCTCTGAACCCTTGTATATTGAACAACCATCGTTCTTACCTTGGCTTGTTGGGCTCAGTTCTCCCGAGTCTCTCGAGCCGTCCAGTACAGAAACCTGTGCTCTTCGGTATTCAGTGATTAAGCATCCGATTGGAGTAATTTTTTGATGGTCACTGGAGGTCTTTTCTTCTGTCGAACTGGATGCTCTGTACAGATTACTTAGCTGCCATCACTGTCAATTCGAAATATGTTCTGTGTCCTCCATGTTTTTTGCCGTTCAATCACTTCTCCCTTCTTCGTACTCCGGCATTGGTTTGGCTTACATCTTTCGTCCATGTATGACCTGTAGATGGATACACATATCACAAATATATATATCAGCTATGTACAACAACACACACTATGCAACTATAGCACACTTGCTCCTATTCTCTACTCTTTAGATCAGTAGACTCTCATTGCATTTATAGCAGAAACAAGTTCATGTTCTCATTTCTATTTAGTACCACAGGTTCAATGTTATATGTAGGCGAATCACAATCTTCTGCCTGCTTTAGACTTTAACATGTGACAGGAGCCAGCCATTGTGACATCCCTCATTGTGACGTCTCTTCTATTTCATAGTTCATTCAACTCCACTTTAAGCGTATGATATTCGATGTCAACTGTCTCCCGTGATTCCAACCTGCTGAAGGTTGGCTGACTAACCGCTGAAGGTTAAAGTCTGTTATCTCGACAGGTTCAGTTTTGTGACCAACTTGATAAACTGCAGGCATATTAGAGCTTCGGATTCTTGGCATTTTTTTGGGATCCCGGCAACTCGTTTGTAGTACTTGTACGCAATCTTGCTGATTGATCATATTTTAATATTTCTGAATCTACCCTCTAAATTCTATGTTGACATCTTGTTTATTCACGTACACATGTACACTAGAGGTCACTTATTTTTCGGGTGAAATCTTTCGTGGCTCTGTCCGCAGGGTAACTGATATATGCACGTCTGACAACCATCTTGCTGTTGACAGGTGATCGACCCAAACTTCAGCGCATCACCACTTCCGCATGAATGAGAGAGAACGTAGGTGGGGCGTCATTCGCATTTTCTAGGTCAATGTGCGAGGAAATGTCTATCCACCAACATTTGTTGGATGAGCCACGAAATTGGTTTGCACAAATTTTGAACCTTTCAAGCAGCTTGGATGTATTTCTTGCTTGATCTTAGGACCGTTGAAGGATCATCCTTGGTTGGCATTTGTGCCATGTTTTCAAAAATATATAAAAAGGAATTGTCGAAACTCGTCTTTGTGTGTGCTACTACTGGTATTTAGAACCAAGCACATCTCAAACAATAATCCTATCTTGCTACAACCTGATGTCGAGGAGACATAACCCATATTAGAATCTGTTCGAAGTCGCGTAATGCCATTGGATATTCATTTCTGACATTCAAGCTTTTTGTTCTAATCGCATTCAACTCGATCCATTTGTACTCTATCTAGAGTGAAAGAAAGTCAAGCAAAAGGGAGATCTAGAGATACCCTAGAAAGTAAAGAGCCAACTGACACGTATGCCTCGGTCAAACTAAAGTAATTGACAACCTTGAAGAAGACGTGTTGGATAGGACAAAGATGTTTATTGATTGTTCACGAGGAGTTAAAGAAAGGAAAGAAATCAGGAGAGAAAATATTTGAAAAGCTTGGCAAAGATCTTTCGAGCTCTTTCAATTGACTTCAATGAAAAGGTAAGTAACAGAAAAACAATCGGACAGACATGCAACAAGAGTCCAATTTTTGGTATAACACCATATGGGACCACTCCGGCCGGCAGAGTGTTGTCCCGATGCAATCCACCCATGTTCCGAGCGAAGTTTTTGCAACTATGCCTATGTAGTTTATGCAGCAGTTTCCGCAGTTTCGTCTCGTTATTCGTCACCGTCCATGGACAGAAGTCATTTAACTCACGACGGCCCGGCAGCCCACCGGCAAACTCGTTCCACACGAAATTCTTGGACATATATAGCATGGACGTATACACACAAGCAATTGAATAAAGGAAAAAGAAAGATAAGTATGGAGGTGAGCATAGATGAGACGAGTTTGTGAAGAGTACAAAAGCATATCAATCTATCTATGCCAAAGTAAATTAGCGTATGTGATGAAATATTTAATTTATTAAACCTTGAGATGAAATGTATCCTGTATGACACTTTACGCGGGTAGATGGATGGAATAGTCATAGTAAAATTGACTTAAAAATTTGTGAATCAATTTAGTATAAGTAAAATTTTGATGATTTATTTATCTCACACAAAAGTCTGAAGTACTTTCTAAAATTAAAGGTTCTAAGAAAAACGACATAATCATAGTTTATAATCATATCATAGCATTTGGATTAGAATCCATCAAATCCATCCAATTACCTTGACCGTAATTAATAGTGTTGATGAAAAACAGTTTTCTAGCTTGGCAGAAAGTCCAGCATTGCTCAGCGTCTCAAGTATCAATCAAACTCGTCTATCGTGATCTTTTTTATTCTATGATAGATCGAAATGCTATCAAGATTACAATCAACAAAGTCATCAAAAAATTCTTGGAAGATGCACTTTATCGTAGGCGGATGATTATTGTTTTAGTGTTAGTATTCCTCCGGAAAACACTCAATTGATCATTAAATACCTTCGAGAGTGAACCACTCGGAGTTAGTTACTGAAATGCCATCAAGATAACAATAAAAAAAGTCATCAAAAAATGCTTGGAAGATGTACTTTATCGGATGCCGATGATTCTTGGATTAGTGTTAGTATTACTCCGGAAAGCACTCAATTGATCATTACATACCTTCCACTGAGTTAAACCACTGAGTTAGTTACCATGAGGATTCCTAGTAGACAATAAGCTACGTTACTCTTTCAAACTCTCTTGGATGGAATGAAATGGAACTACAAATGGAAGTCTTCAAAGTTTTTGAAAGTAAAATGTAATTCAAAACTGTGAATGACAACAAGAACACATCATAATGTGTCATTGAGATCATGTAGAGAACTTTCACTAGAAACAAAGAAGTTTCTAATGTCACATTGTTTTAGTGATGTTAAATATCCAACACCAACATAATGAGTTTGTCATGGATTTTTTTCATTCCTAACAACTCTTGAGTGTTGAAAATTTGAGAACCTTGGCTAGCCATAAGATTCAAAAGATCCTTAGCATATTTCTGTGCCTCGCTTAGCTTCACTACTTTATACTTATCATCATTGCTATCAACAATCATTGAATCTTATTCCATGGAATCAAGTACCTCTTCGTCATCTTGCACTAATAGCACAAACTCCTAAGTAGAATATTCCACCTCAAAATCATCTTCACCTTCCATGTTTATGTACTCCAAAGTACTAAACTTTTCTTTAGGCTTGACTTCAACATCCAAACCCAAATTTAATGCGGCAATGAGATTGCCCAATTCCAAAGCAGCTTTCTCTAGTTTGGACTTTATACGTTCATCAGAATTGTTGAAATCTGCATTACACTCTACGGGCAATATGGTGGACTTTCTTCAATAATTTCTGATGATTTGATCATCTAATTTATGCCATGCCATCACACACCATAACATTGCTTGAAAGAGATCAACATTCTGTTTAGTCAAATCTTCATTTGAGTTATCAATTTGTTGCGTAGTCCAGGCAACAAGCTTGCGCTTATAGCACATTTTGAATTTTGCAATCACTCCTTGATCCAAAGGCTTAACAATTGTGGAAGGAACAAAATAGTGATATGAGAGTAAAAAAAGCATTAAATCCATTTGTAACTTTCTTGACCTTACCATGAATATCATGGCTTTTGCATTATCCATAATAATGCAAATCTTTCTATCTTGCAATGCCATTCTTTGGTCACTCTTCAGCCAATGTGTAAAAACATCACCATTCATCTAGGCTGAATTGTTAGAATAATAATGTAGTAGATCATTTGGATCAAACTTCTGAGGAAAGCATTTGGGACGCGTTGATTTGTGAATGAAAACAAGCTTCAATCGCTCTTTCCCTAAGATGTTAGTGCAAAGCCCTGTCATGTAGTTTCGAGTCGGCTCACGCAGTTTGGGCACTTACTATATTTAGACGTGGAGTTAGAGTTCGGATCACGAGGGGTATACAGTCAGGGACGGCTCGAAGAACGTTAGTTCTTCGAGTCGAGCCTGGAAGCGTCGGTAGCGTAGAGCGACTTTACCTTTTGCGTCGACCTAGATTCTTCGAGTGTGGAGTGGGTTGGGCTTGACTCATGTTTGTGACGATGACGGTTTGTTGCTAGTAGGGTAATTGACCGACGGGAATTCCAGTGGGGAATCTCCCGTTCATTTCACTCGAAGAACTCACTGTACACCGAATCGTCAGTGGGTTGTGATAAGGTTTTGGCTGGATTGATTTTCGTGTGGTTTCTTGTTCGTGGTTGAGTGAGAAATTGGCAAACATCAAAGAAATTTTCGCGGTTGAGTTTCAATATTTTGAATTTGATCTAAGAGAGGAATCATTGTAAGAGAGCTCGAAGAATCAACTCAATTTCTGATGTCGGAGCTTGCGCGGGTGGTGTTGGTGACATCGCTGTTACGAGTGGGGTTGGAGATTTTGTTCTGGGCATGATAGTCTCTCCGGAGAAATCAGAGTGGGAAGATTGAGGTGTATCGCGTGGCAGTCAACTCTCGGATCGAGAGAGAGTTCGGTTTGGATTTTTAGACTGTGAATTTCCGGAGGTTGTTTGAGGTTGACGGATTGGATTCGTTGGGAGTCAGGTGCTGCAAACCGCGGGAATGTGTTCGGCCTCCATCTGCATCTCGAGGATTTTGCTTCTATGCCTTTCTGTGGAATTTACAATAGCACCGATGGGTTGACAACTCATTGACAGCATAGCCTCTCGGTCGCCACTTGACGACGGATGTGGTCCCGACCGAATGGAATTGTTGATGATCTAGACTGAAGACGATGAGACACAGCCTTGGAGGGCAACAAGGTTCTGCTAGGACTTGGGTGATTACGAGTTTAGTAATGGATATCTCGATCGAACCCTAAGCGGTCCGAATTCAGGGTGTGATGAGGCAAGTATATGATAAAGAGCACCGTGGTCTCTAGCGAGTGACAAAGGACATTGACCGAGCTTTCGTACGTGATGATTCCTATTACAAACAACAGAGCCGCCACTGCCACATTGATCAACACAAACCGGCAACATTCCTCGGGGTCCAAGTGCCTCGTCCTCTTGATGTTCCTACAGAAAGTCGCTGCTCTGTTCCGCAATTGCAGCTTTACATTCCCAGTGTAAAGTTGCCACGGACTTAAAGTCCCAAAGCTTAAAGCTGCGTATTATCAATGATTTTTCGTCGAGCAGGAATGTGAGATTAAGTTCCTTAGAACCCTGATGCAAGAGAAGTAATTTGGTTTACTGAGATTACGAAGGGAAACGATGATGAAGCAAGAAAAGCTCGAGCAGTCCGAGACGGAATTGGAATAAGCCGGACCAGTACATCTCCCGACGGCTGCAGTGGGAGACGATGACGAGTAAAAGACTTCACGGCCTTCACTCCTAACAACTCTGGATAATTACTCTCCAATCTACCACCTTCGAAGCCATTCGACTTGGCTTCCTGACGTATTCCTCACTTGACTTGTATTCAACATCGGTCGAATAGTAGTGTTTTCAATGATTTTTCTTCGATTGAGAATTTTAGTGTGGTAGAATTTAACTTTTCTGGAGACAGAACCAGGAACCCAAGGTTCTTGCTGGCACTGATGTCTGCGTTGCTGGTATGCAGAGAGACAGAGTTTATTACTCTCCTCTGATTGTTATCGTTTCTCTTCTTTTCTTTCTTTATGGAACCCCTCTACAGTCCATGTTTAAAAGAAGTTTAGATCTCACAGGGAAGCTTATCATCAATGAATATACCTACCTGAGAAATTAAGATTCACTCTTATATTCTTAACATGTCAGGAAGAGTAATATAGTCAATCTTGCCAATTGATTAGCTCCTAAACTGTGGGTAGATAGGTAGATACACTGGAAACCACCGTAAAGCCAAGGAAACAAGTATAGTGGTATCTCTACTGTATACTCTCGACCACTTGTTACGTCTGAAGGCTATGTTCAAGTGATGCCTTGAGATTTATGGTTTGGCTGTGAACATTTCTCGTCTTCTAATTCAGAGATGTCCTCTGATTCAGCGAACAAGAGAAGAATCTTGCAAGAGTTAACAGTGTTCTAGGTTGTTATTTAAGTGGGAAATATATATCTAAATCTCCCGTCCC